TGAGTCCTTACTTCTTTGTGATTTGAGAACTCAAAGATATTGTTCTTATTAGAAATAATAGTATTGATGTTATTGAGAAGGGGAAAACTTGGCCTATGGCCATTGTTATTGGTTTAAAGTGTTTTGGAACAAAATGGTCATTTTTATGAGGAATCAGAGGGGATCTGGTTGTTCCTTGTAAGGAACCAGAGGGGCTCTGGTTGGTCCTCATTATTGGACCAGAGGATTCTGGTTATTGATTTGGAGGATGAGCAAGTTTTTACTAAATGTATTAATTGGATCAGAGGTTTTGTATCTATTGATAAGTGCTTTCATGTCAAAATCATATTTTTAGATGTTTTAAGAAAAAAAAAATTATACTTAGAATCTTTTTATGAAAAAACAGATCAGAGAGGCTCTGGTTGGCTTATACGTTGAACTAAAGAGGCTCTGGTTGATCATGTCTTCTGAACCAGAAGCTCTGGTTAGTACAACCAGAGGCTCTGGTCAAGGAACAAGAAGATTTGGAAGAAAGACCAGAGGGGCTCTGGTCTTGGATGTTGAAATATATTCCAAGTGTGGTTTGGAACCAGAGACCCGATGGACCGAAGCAGTATGTTTTTAGTTTTGCTTCATAAGATAAGTGATTTGAAATAAATGTTTTGGTGATCTTCACCCTGCATTACATAAAAGGGAACCTCACTAGACATTCATGTCTAACCCTCATTTCACGTTTTCAAAATTATATGTGCATGTAAAGATAATAAGGGAAAGAGCATTATGTGAATTACTTTCCTATGTGCTTAGCTGTTTTGGAAGCATAGATGCTAGGATGCAACAACATGTACTTTTGGAATTTTTGGGTTGCATATTTTACATTATAAACTCTTGTATCAAAGACCTATGTGGGAAATACATGTATTCTATATATAAAATATGTGTTATATGCAATGTATGGATTTGGAATGTTACATTAGGTGCTTCTTTTTGTCTGGATATATGCATTGCAGACAAATTACAATGATATAGCTGCTTACTTTCATGCTTTTTCCTTGAAATTGAAATCAAGTTTTGCATATTTTTAAAGCGAAAATGATCTCAAAAACTTTATAAGAAATATTTGGATTGTTCTTGAGATGATTCTGAAATTTGTTTGTTTAAATGATTAGGAAGTGACAAGACAAAAAAAATGAGTTCCACAAATGAGAATGTAGATAAAAGTTTTTCATCGATAATTTGTTTATAAAAAATATGTTGGATTTATATATATTGGATTTTAAATTATCATACAATTTTTTTCATCGATAGTCTGTAATTGGAATCATAACTCTTATTTATTCAAATTGTATTAATATGTAAAGACTAAGTGTAACATATATTATCGTTAAATTTTCTCTTATAAAACTAGTGAAACTTCAAAATCGTTAAAATTCACGGCTTCCGCCGCATTTGCACGGGCACGCAATTAATTTATAAAAAAAAAAAAAAACCTAAAAGGGGCAAATGACCCACGGTATTCGATCCAAAAGACCTAAAATGGTGTTTGTAAATAAATCACAAAGACCTGTTTCACCATAGCAACGTAAAACCCTTCACCGCCACTAAATAAATACAACATAAAACCCTTCACCATCGCTAAATTCACCCACCGAAAACCCTCCTCCATCGCCACCGGGATCAGTATTCGGAATGCAGCTAATTCATTCTGATAAGTTTTCCCATCGAGCTATTCACATATCTGTCATTCAATCGTCAATATACGAATTGAGGTATGTTTAAGCCCTCAATCTCTCTGTATACATACATACATTATTGCATCTGGGAATTGAATTCGATTGAACCCAGTCAAAGGACAGCAGATTTTGCTCTTATGGGTATGACTCTTATCTGAGATTTGAAAATATGCTCTCTCTGCGCCCATATCGCAGATTTAGAACCTATGCGACCATTCCAGCCTCCATTACATCGATTTCTAACGGTAAAATTAGTTTGACTGCAAACGATATTAAGAAACCCTTAACTTTAGAGGAACCTGTCCTTGTTAAGCTAAAGACAGAAAGAGACCCGGAAAAATTATTTCATTTGTTCAAGGCTAATGCCCATAACCGCTTTGTTATAGAAAATAAGTTTGCGTTTGAGGATACGGTTTCCAGGCTAGCTGGGGCTGGCCGGTTTGATTACGTCGAGCAATTACTTGAGCATCAGAAGGCACAGCCTCAGGGCCGCCGCGAAGGGTTTATTATGAGGATTATAAGGTTATATGGAAAGGCTGGAATGGTTAAGCATGCTGTCAATACTTTCAGAGATATGCATTTATATGGTTGTCGTCGCACTGTTAAATCTCTTAATGCGGCCCTTAAGGTTTTGGCACATACAGGTGACTTGGATGCCTTGGAGTCGTTTCTTAGGGACATTCGTTGCAAGTTTGATGTTAAGCTAGATGTAGTTTCTGTGAATATTCTGATAGATGGACTTTGTCGAATGGGTATTCCTGATAAAGCTTACATAATCATGGGAGAGATGGAAAAATCAGGGATTACACCTGATGTAGTCACATACACAACTCTTATATCAGCATTTTATAAATTGAATCGAGCAGAAGTAGGTAATGGTCTTTGGAATCTTATGGTGATGAGAGGCTGTTTGCCAAATCTAGCAACCTTTAATACCAGGGTTCAGTTCTTGGTGAACAGAGGACGGGTATGGCAGGCTAATAGTTTAATGGGCATGATGCGTTATCTTGGAATCACTCCTGATGAGGTTACATTTAACTTGGTGATAAAAGGGTTTTGCATAGCTGGTTATATTGACATGGCCAAAAGGGTTTATTCTGCTTTACATGATGAGGGTTACAAGCCGAATGCCAGAATTTATCAAACAATGATGCATTATCTTTGTAAAGAAGGTGAATTTGACATGGCGTATACAATGTGCAAAAATAGCATGGAAAAGAATTGGTTTCCAAGCATCGACAGTATCTATCAACTACTTCAGGGGCTGCGGACCATGGGGAAGATTGGCAAAGCTAGGTTTATTATATCTTTGGTGCATAAAAGAGCACCTTCATTTACTGCAAATCAATTGGGCATCATGGAATCGATTTTGCAAAAGAGTTGACATTGTTCCAAGAGGAACAAGCATTCTTTGTACAGTTTTCATATCTGGTGTTGAGAACAGTTCATTTTTAGATTCATTCATGATGAATAATTATCCAGGAAAAGAAATATTCTAATATGTTAGGTAAGTTTGTTGTACCATCTTACTACAGTTTACGGTGGAGATTTACATGGAGATATTAAGGAAACCCGACTTGCATTCTTGAACATTTAGTTCTTTCTAACCTTGATTTTCGTATCTTGTTATATGTGAATATATTTTTGCGATTTTACCAGGTTATTAGCTACATACTATTATAGCTTGCTTCATTTTTGGGTAATTGGAAGTGTTGTCGGTATCTGTTTAATGATATGCTTAGAAGTGGTTGTGAGAAACGAAATGGTCAATGGGATACATAAGTGTCATCCTAAAAACAATTCAATTGTTTCAGACTCTTATAAATACTAAATCATCCTGGAAAAATTTATAGTAACAACAGAAGTTAATGATATATTTTGCAAAACTGTGACTGCTAGCTATGCTTTCCAAATATTTTCTGCAAGCCATGGGTGTTTCTGAAAATAGCCTCACCATCTCTTGAGGCAGAGGAAAGGTCTGCATACATTCTACTCCCTCATACCCTACTTTCAAGTGGGATACTGAGTTTGTTTGGTTTGATTTATGTTGTTCAGTTTGTAATATGCGTATGCTTGTGATAGTAGAAAAATGCTTCTTTAGACTTTGGTTATAATTTAGTGGTGGTTTTTATAATTTTATTTTGTTCGAATAGAGAAGGAGAGGCTGAGACAGACAAGCTACAGATGCATTTGTTATAGACCAAAATAACTTGAACTTCTATTTTCTGTTCAGCCTAGTTGATTTCTTAACCATCATTATGTGGTTGAAGAAGAAAGGATGCTAGGAGCACAGGGAAATGACTCAAATGAGGCATCCAAACAGGAGGGTGATAGAAGTATTTCACAGGTTTGTACCGAGAAATTTCACTTTCAGTAGTTATTATTGTTGATGTCGTTGTAATTGTTACTATTTCTTAGTATCTTGTCTAAATCAATGAGGGGTGTTCTATACTTATTCAGAACCACTTCTGTGTCATACAACTCTCTTATTGCTTCATGTATCTTTTGGAATTCATCTTACTTCGGCTGTGGTATGATTTTCTGTTTGTATAGGTTGCCTATAAGTTCTATGATGTTGGTTTGGTCTACTTGCTGACAGCCATGATTGGTTTTTTTACTCATCATGTTTAATGATTTCAGAGAACATTAGGCCCCTCAATCTAATGATTTGCTTCGTTTGTTCTAAAAAGAAAATTCCATGGTTTTGATGTCATTCCATTACATTCCATTTTTAATTCTTTGTTAGTAACCTATTGCAATTACATTTTTTATGGAAGTTAATAAGATCACTGTTTCAAAGCTGAATAGTGGTATGTTTGATTATCAAAAGAAAAAAAAAATAAACCTTCATTTAATCTTTTTTTTTTTTTTTTTTGGGGGGGGGGGTGAAGGGAACTCAAGGCAAGTATTATGCATTGAAGATTAAATCATACTGTAGAACCATGAGAAAAGATTGAATCATGCAGTCTTGAGTATCTAGACTCCTAGATTCAGAAGGAGGGCAAGGTTGAAGAGGACATAACTCATCGCATAAAGACGGGTGGCTAAAGTGGAGAACAATCATGGGGTGCTACGGCTAAAGTGGAGAGCTGAAGGGAATTCTTTGTAGGATAATCATTAGAGCGGCTATGTTGTATCGGTCGGAAAGTTGGGCTATTATGAAGGCCCATGAATGGAAGATGGAAGTCGTAGAATTGATGATGCCGAGAGGGACCTGTGGTAGAGCTAGGTTTGATAGGATACCGAACAAGGTCTTCTTAGTAGTGTTGGTAGTTGTGCCTGTCACAGATAAGTTAAAGGAGGGGAGACTATGGTGGTTTGGTCATGTTCGTAGGAGACAGATGACGACTCCTATAAGGGGTATACGAAGGATGACGGTAGAGGGGGTGGAGGTAGGCCGAGGAGGACATGGGATGAGCAACTCAGGTTGGACATGGCTGCTTTAGGTGTTCGTGTTTCTGAGGACATGAGCTTTGATAGGAGCTATTGGAGGCACAAGACTGGGGTAGCGGACTAGGGTGTAGATCTAGAGCTAGTATAGTCAGGTGGAAGGGAGCCGGAGAGGTAGAGGGTGGGACATGGGGTTAGTAAGTTGGATTAGGGGTGTGTATTTTTCTTACTTATGCTTATGTTTCTCTTGTACTTGCTTCTATTTGTATGTTATGACTTACTCTGAACTAGTTTTTTAATAGCTTTCATTATCTATGTTTCTTTCTTTCACGTGTTCTTTTAGAAGCTGGGGGTCTTCATAGAAACAACCATTTCACTCTTTGGGGTCAAAGTTGTTAAAAGCCCGCCTCCTAGGCTCTGAGGTGCAGTAGGCCAGAGCGCAAAAGGCTCAAGGTCTTGGGCTTTTTTGAAAGTCGAGGTGAGGCATATTCATGAGGCTCACCAAGGGTTAGGTGCCTTTTGGGCTTAGGGGGCCTCATAAAGAGTTAATAAATACCCACTCAACCCCTAATATTTAATAACTTTTCTTATATTCTAGACTTCTTAAAAAAGAGTTATTAAATAGATGAGATAAGTTAGACCCTAATATTAAATACCAATCCTTAGAACATCAAGCCTTCTTCTCTATAAATACCCAGACCTTAAAAAAATTTCCTCATGGCTCATGCTTTAAACCCTTCTCCCTTCTGCCTCTATCGAAGGACTGTTGGTTGCATTGGAGGCTTGTACCATCTGCTAAACCCGATTTGAGTTTTGTAGTTGTATGTGTGTGTGTGTATTAATAAGGTGTGCCCTCACATTTCTGAGACCTTCGGTCCTTCGCCTCATGCCTAGGCCCCGGGACCCTGTTGCGCCTAAATAGCCTAGAGCCTTTAACAACTTTGGTTGGGGTTAAAGGTCAGGTCTGCCTACATCTTACCATGGTCCCACCTCACCTTGTCAACGAACTTTTTAGATATACTGAAAATTGCTTTCGTCAAAAAACTAAAGAAACTAAAGCAAGGTGTCGCAAATGGGTTTATGAAACAAATGGAGAGGATTAATGTATAGGTAGGTTCCAGTACAAGCGAAAATTCTTGCCCAGAGTGGTTAATTGGTTTGTGCTCACTCAAGGTTCCAAATGGCATGAGGTGTGGCGTGGCCGGGAGGCCAAGCGTCAAGCTTTAGGAGCCACAACGAGGCCATGGTGTTTTTCAAGGTGTGACGCATGGCCATAATCATATGTAATATTATTCATATATAGATGTTTTCTATTATCACTTGATGAATCAATGATTTAAACAATTTGAATTAGGTTATATATTAAAAACTAACAAGTAAAACATTAAAAATGTAATAGAAATCAAATATCACATTACAAGAATCGCGCATTAGGCTATGGTGTGCCACAAGCTTAACGTGGCGAAGCCTTGAGCCATGGCGGCTATTGCGGCGAGCCTTTTAGAACACTGGTCTCACTGGGTGGAAGTATGGACTTTAGAGAGCTTGTGGTATGTTCTTGCTATTGACATATGTGTGTGTGTATATATATACATATATATATATATATGCTGCAAGAAGGGGATGTTTTTGGGTCGAGTCGTTGTGGTGACTATGACTTGCAGAAGCAGCAGATTTGTGGTGGTCATGGAAGAGAACTCCATAATCTGCTTGATAGACGATACATAACCCATGAGGGACAGAGGGAGAGCTTGTTCAGTATGGATATAAATTGTTGTTTTAGGAAAGTTGATCGAAGACATGCTTGAAAACATTGTAGAAAAGCAATATAATTGAAACAAAAGTCACTGTACTCGTTTTCAAAATTTTGCTAACCATTTTGGTTCCATTAGACAAGAGTTTTCACTCACACACCAAGAACAGAAGAACTGGGCTTGTTTTCTGACTCGAGCATGGGCCATGCTGGTTTTTTGTCTATGGATCGATGATAAATAAATGTTAGAAATACCCCAATTCAGTTCACTTATAGTAAAAGAAGGAAGCGAGGAAAACCACATGTCATGGGGACCACTGCAAAAGAATGAGAAGGCTAGGAGTAAGTCTGGTAGAGGGCAATTTGGGAATAAATCAAGTATAAATTGGGTGGTGAGGCGAGTATTGTTCTCATGCATATATTTTCCTTGTAAACCTGGAGAGAATGGCCTCTGGAATTGCCATACGTTTCTTTCCCTTGTTAATGGTAATCATATGAGCATTGCAAGTGATTTCACTCTGTCTTACCTGTTTCAATTTACCATTCCTTTCTTAATTTTGATCGTTGAGTTGGGTTGGTTCACAACAGATAAATATGCAGATGAATTTTGTTGTCAAGTATTCAAGTTAAATGAATTCGTGTTGCAATTGACACCAACCACATTCTGTTTTTACAATTACTATGCTGGCATCTTGATTTCAAGCCCAAGGGGAGAGGGATGTTCCAATTTGGTGGTGGGCATGAGAGGTATGTACTTTTGGTTTCTTTCTATATATCAAGTATATATATTTTCTACTTCATTCTTATCCTTCTTAACAAAATAAGATGGAATTTAAGCTTTGTTTATTAGGTACTTGTTGCTAATAAGTTGGGACTTGGAACTTGATAAAAGAGTTATGGATGAATGATGGAGTAGTAGCATGAAAAGTGAACAATTTCCTTTAGCTGAGTTAAACAAGAAAGAAGCCTGTAGAGGACTTGCATAAAGAAAGAGAGCTACTCTACATTCACAAACCAAAGGTATGTATTTAATTCTTGAATTCAAACATCAACCACTTCCATTCAATGAATATCAGCTCCCATTCAGAACATTAGTTAGTCAAATCTTAATTATCCAAAACAATGATTTATTATTATGAAACAAGACTCAATCTTCCCACTCAACTCACTTTACAGTCATCTTTTAAAGAAAATTCTTAAAATTGTTGGATATTAGGCGAATGCTTTACATATTTTATGTAAACCACCTTTTTCTAATCAAGGTTTAGGTGGTTTAGGCAAAAGCACTTGTAGTAAAGATAGTTATTTAGTTACGGTTTATACCTTCATAATTAGTTGGAGCTTTAATAAGATGTATTCATGCACATTCTACTTGTAATATTGAATTTTAAGTAATATGCATCAATAAACAGTACTTTATGCATAAAAAATTGTTTTTAAGAGTTTTTGTCAAATGTTTTATAATATAGATATGTGTGTGTGTATAGGCCTAATTAAATGAAAACAACGTAGTTTGTGATAATCGTGAGATCCAATTTCAACCAATCATTTGAGTTATTTAATGGTATTTCTTAAATAAGCTACAAGGTTAACTTAGTACTTTTATTTTTTCAACTCATCAACATTTTTGATTTTTTTTTGAAAAGAAAATATTTAACTAAATTTTATTACCTAATATATTAGTTACCTGACGTCTCACCCCACCTTTTAAGGATCCTAATTTTACAACCTCCACCTCAACACCTATGCCTCACTCCTTTCCCTTCCCCTTTGTCACAGTCAATCCCAACCTTTTTCCGATGTCATCATCTGTGTTGCCAGCCTCTCTCATGGCTTCTCTCTAGGGGTGTTCATGGGTTGGGTTGATCGGGTTGAATACATTTAAGTAACCCAACTTAATGCAAATGGTTTGAAAAATCTTAACCCAACCTAAACCATACGGGTTGGTCGGGTTGATACTTTGATACATTAAAATATTTTCTTAACCTTGAATGTGTTATTTTTATACTCATAATTTTTTTTTCATCATCAACCATTTGATATAACTTATCCATAGTTCCTACGTATATTACATTCAGTTAATTTTCTCAATATATATGTTCATAGTTCCTGAACATATATACGAATGAGTTATACAGAGATGTGAATAGATTGAAAATATGTGATTATGAAGAGCGTATGTGACAGTGTAGTTGTCTAATGTATATATTAATAGATATTCAACAATCATATTAAATCAAAGAAATAAAAGGATATCGGGTTCATCGGGTTGGGTTAGGTTCAAACAATAGTAATCCGATATCAACCCAATATCTACGGTTTGAAAATTTTACAACTCGATTAGACATCGGGTTGCTTTGGGTTGAGTTATTTCGTCTTGGGTGTGGTTGGGTTGGGTTGATCGGATTTTTGAGCACCCCTACAGTTCTCTCACTTTCTCATCCCTCATCTTGAACTATATGGCAACGCTACTGATCTAAAACCATTGTTGTACCCATCAATGCAGCCATCAACGACAAGAATTCCCATTGCTCGTCTAGTAAGGTTTTCACCTATAACCTGCCCCCAGTATTTAAGATGGAATTGATCGAATAAGCTCGTCGGAGAGTATTGCTGACACGTGGTATTAGACGGATCGAGCCGACGACAAAACAGATCTAGCCGAAGTCGAAGGGTTTGAAACAGATTCAACCAAAGACAAAGAGATTTATTATACGGCGAAGCGGGTCTACACTGTCAATTGAGGCTATGAAGCGGTCGACTATTTTGTTTTCCGGTGGGTTTTTGTTGTTTCCGATGAGTTCTTTTTCCGGAGTTGGTTTAAACATTGTTTTTTCGTGTGTTTTGTTTGGATTTGTTGCAGATCTGGTTAATAATCTCGAACTAGAGTTCTTTTTTTGTTCATTATTTTGTTTAGATTTAGATGGATAACATGGGATCGCAGTGTAATTATGGGTTTTAGGTAGGGGCATCACAATATATCACAGTGTAATTATGGGTTTTAAGAAGGACATCATAATGTATCACAATGTATTCTCATTGTTTTACGAAGTGTATTACAATGTATATTTTCATTATTTGATAAAGGGCATCACAAATGGTATTTTTGTCATTTTCATTGTTTTACAAGAGTATCACATTATGCATTTTGTATGTATATTTGAGTATCACAGTGAATATTGACTATATGCATCTTTTTTAATGATGTTTTTTGAGGTATCACAATGTGTATCATGTGTTCACATAAGGATCATTGGAATAAGATTTACCGAAATAATGTTCATCGGAATAAGGTTTAACGAAATAATGTTCATCGGAATAAGGTTTACCGAAATAATGTTCATCGGAATAAGGTTTGCAGGAGAGAGGAGAGATGATATTTTTAAAATACCTAAAATACCCTTAATTAATATTTTAAATTAGAATTACTAAAATTATTAATTTTCTAATTTATCATTTGATTTATGGTTAAGATTGGACCTCACGGTTATACAAATAATCGAGTTCTCTTTTGAATGACCCCCTATATATATTGAGGTGGCGTTTGGTTTTTGCAGAATGTTTTTGGATGAAATGAAACCTGTCAAAGAAAATTTGACTTTGAAAGAACTGAAATGAATTTTGTCCGGTTTGACCACCTTGTTGATTGGCAGACCTTGGAATGGAATCCGTTATGGAACTGGAATCTGTCTTGTTTGATTCACAGAATGTAATTTTAGAATTGAAATGAAATATTGGTAAATGATCAAAATTCTCTTTTGAAAATTTTAATTGTTTTTAAAACTAAAAATATTTTAATAAAATAATTATTTAATTATTAAAACAATATAAAATATACAAACCAAATATGACCATAAATCAAACGCCGTTACTAAATCGATATTAAAATTGACTCAAAATAGTTAACTTTATCATGTAAAATATCTCATTCGGTGGTGGTTGGCGGTGGTCAACTGTGGTTTAGATCGACGGTGGTTCAGATCGGTGGTGGTCCCTGGTAGTTCAGATCAGTGGTGGTCAATAATGGTTTAGATGGTGGTGGTTGATAGTGGTTCAAATTGGTGGTGGTCCGTGATGGTTTAGATGACGGTTGTTAGTGGTGGTTCAGATCAACGATGGTTCAGATTGGCGGTGGCCGACAGTGGTTCAGATCGGTGGTGGTCCACGGTGGTTTTAGATCGGTGGTGGTCCGCGGTGGTTCAGAATGCAGTGGTCGACAGTGTTTCAGATCGATGGTGGTCCATGGTTGTTCAGATTAATGGTGGTTCAGATTGGCGGTGGTTCAGATTGGCGGTGGTTCAGAAAGGGGATGGTTCAGATCGGCGGTGGCCAACAGTGGTTCAGATCGGTGGTGGTTCAAATCAGCGATGGCCGATGGTGATTCAGATCAATAGTTTAGATTGGTGGTGGTCCGTGGTGGTTTAGATGGCGGTGGTCGACAATGGTTCAAATGGCGGTGGTCGACAATGGTTCAGATGGCGGTGGTCGACAGTGGTTCAGATCGACGGTGGTGGTTCAGATCGGCAGTGGTCGGCGGTGGTTCAGATTGACGATGGCCGGGTGGTTTAGATCGATGGTAGTCGCCAATGGTCGGTGGTGGTTCAGATGGGTGGTGGTCGGCGGTGGTTCAGATCGGTGGTAGTCGCCGGTGGTCAGGCGATGGTTTAGATGGCAGTGGTCGGTGATGATTCAGATCAATGGTGGTTGATGATGGTCATATTGAGTTTTATGAGATTAAGGTATATTGGATTAAGAGCATATTTGATATTATGAAAAAAGAGAATTTCATTCCATCAAAATACCATGTAGTTGTTAAGGAATGTTAAATTTCTTTATTTGTTGAATTTATAGGATTTTGAAAATTCCTTTCGTGAAAAGGAGTGAACTAAACGAGGGAATGAAATTGGGTCAATGGAATTCAACATTCCAATTTGACCCGATTTCATCAGATTCCTTCAAAATCTGCGAACCGAACGTCTCCTAAAATTATTAAAAAAGTTCAAATATAATATATTAGCTTTCACTTTTGACTTTTTACTTTAATTTGTTATTACGATGATTAAAAATTAGAGATCGAGCAACATTTGGAAGGAAATGAGGATATTGTGGAAAAAAAATTGGAAAATTCGTTGGTCTTGAAGAATGTCGGGATATGGAGAATTTTGTTGCATTTAAGAGCCTTCTTGATTTTCAATATTCTTTTTCCATTTTTTTGAAAGAGAGTTGTGAGGAATGAGCTATATGGTGTTGTTGGTCCTGGAATGATAATGGCTAACACAATGAGTGTTTGTAGAAGGAGAGAGGGGGTTAAATACAAACACAACAGATTTTTCACATTTTAATTTTGTATATTTATTGAAAACAAAGAATTATATATTTGTTGCAAAAACTAGGAAAATAAGACCTGATCCTAAACGATTCGACTGGTGACAAATTTACTAATAACTGAAAGAGCATATTTCAGATCTGAAGTACTGAGATAGTCCGTTAGATGGTTGATGTCGGTTTTCTTAAGAAACTATTACTTAGAATTTATTTCAAAACAAGTGAGTTGCAACAAATGACAAAGAGGACCTTTTATATCCATCAATGCATTAAATATAGTTGTCCAATGGTTGAGTTACAACAAATATTCAAAGTATTTGATCGGATGTTATTATGTATTATTATCAAATCCAATGATAGAGAACAACAATCTACCCCGATATTTTTAATAATACAAATAGATAACATAAGAACACTTAAATAAAAAAGGGTATTGGAACTCAAAAAGTTTTATACTTTGAACTCATAATTTCAATGATCCATTTGTTATGTTTTCAGATTCTTTTGGGCTTTTTCCCTTTTCTCCTTTTTTGTTCTTTTCGAGGCTTTTCATCATTTTCTATGGAATAGTGTTACATTGCAACAAAAATAAAATACTGAAACATAAAAAATAAGATAGATTTTCATCATCTAAAATATTTGTCTTCAAGTTTCTCAATTGAACATCCTCTTTCCTTGAGTACATCACTAATTTCATCTGCTAACATTTTTTTGTATTTCGTTTCAGAGCAACTAAAGAGCATATTTACTGAATAAATTGTATCGGCTAAGAATAACTCATATGATCTTTGGTATCCTAGAGCTCTCAAGAAAATGTATAATCATTTTTTCGGGATTGTCATATATTATTCCTTGAGACTTCAAAGAACTGGGTGGAAGAGAGAGATTAAGGTTTAAGATATTCGGAAGGTTACTTGAGAGTTGATCAATAAGAAATTTTTAGAGGATTTGGAATTATGGGATCAAAGGGAGTAGTATTCAGATGATTTGTTCTTTCAGATGAAGAAGGTGGTTGCAATAAGAGGGAATCAAAATTGGCTAATCTGGACTTTCTGGGTGCTTCTTCCTTTGTTGTTTTCGTGGCATTTTCATCAGCCAATTCTTTTTCCGAAGTCATCTTGGCTTTTGTCTTATATAAACCGATTTTGGATGTTCATCTCAAGTTGGATATTTTATTTTTCTTTGATCAGATGTATTTCCTCAGTTGTTGCTCCCCCTCATTCGGATGACTTTGCTCCTTCTCAATTGGATGACTATGTAATCAGTTGCTCCCCCTTAATTGGATACTCATTCCTTGACTCCCTCTTAGCAGTTGCATCAATTGGATCCTATTGAGCTATCTTTTATGTCATAGCTATTTTACCAGTTTGTAGATAGTAGACTCATTAACATCATTGACAAGTTGATCACCACTCGGAAAGACTCACTACATTCTCCTTTTTCTTCTTTTCTTTACCTTCATCAGATGGTTTACAATCTGAACCATTAGGATTGAGTAAGTCATCGTTATTATCAACCACTTGGACACCATTGCTTCATTACCTACCTTTCTTCTTCCTCTCTTCATCCAAGCTACTAAATCCCCCATTTTCTGTTTTTTCCCTCTCAGTAGCTTCACATAAAGTTTTAAAGAATTCATCAAGGTACTAAGTAGATTTATGTGGTTGAGATATGACCTGCATAATGGGTTAGTAGAAAAAATATCTTTTATGGTGCTCATAAGGAGGAGAGCACCAATCAGATCATGTGATCTTGTTTGCACATTTCTACCGAATGCTTCGAGGTATTCCTTGAAATTCCAATCAGAGTCTTGAAAGAATTTCTTTATTTTGGAGGACTTGGGAGGAGTCTGAATCTTTACTGTGTACATATTGAGATATCATAGTGACTTGCCTGACTTTTCCCAATTTCTATAACAATGTCCTTCTATGAGGGCATTGAGGAAGTGGTTTGGGGTCTAGATGCCATGAGTCCTGAATGGCCAACTGTAATAGTCTCCGATTGTTGAGTCTCCGACCAAATTACTGTTTATGACCCTTTGGGTAAACGAGAGTTTCCTTAGAGCATCTCGTTTTGCTAAGGATATAAGTCTCCATTTTTATGTTGATTTTGAAAGTTAGGAAACTGGGATAGGTGTCAAAGGTTCAATTGGCACCATAGTTTCCGAATCGAAATGATGAAGTCAAAACATGAGAGAGACATTTTTGACCTTGATGACAATTTTGGCTCGGGGAAAGAGCTTAGTTGCTTCTCTGGTTGAAACATTGCCCCAAATCGGATAAAAAAATTTATATCTAGAAAAATCTTGAGATCCAATGAAAAGACTAATTTCTTTCCTTTTTTATTATTTTATTTTTAGACGAAGGAGAGAGAGAGAAAGAGAGAGAGAAATAGAGAGAGAGAGAGAGAGATAGCGAGAAAATCAAAGGTGATTCTAAGATATAGTAGAAAGAAAGAAAATGATGAGTTTTAGAAGAGTGAGTTAGAGAGAAAAACAATGATGACTTTAGAGAGGAGAGAAATTGTTAAAATGTTTATATAAATTACAATCTTGACTAACTTGACTTTTTGTCCTTATATGTTATAATGTTAACAGATTAGGGTAAATTATGTCAAGTATAAAGTTGTTATTGTCTTGGAAATGAGGAGGACTGTGCCTCACTTTTGGGAGAAGA